TTAGAATAGGGTGCCTTTAAAGGGATCCTTAAAAAAGGGTTCTATAAGGGATCGATGATAGGGCTCTATATGAGGGGCCTTAATAATTAGAACAGGGTTTTGGGGGTATATGATATCTATAACTTTAATAAGGAGCCCCGAAAATAGTATCGGTAGTTATTGAGGCCCCCATGCTACACTTCCACAAGCCTTCCTGTCCTCTCATCATGTCTCACATCTATAATGCAATACCAACTAAAGTTTGATACATGTTCAGTTTCTCCTTCGTCTCTGGCCGTCCACCGACCCATCGATTCTTGGATCCTTTTTGGCTCAAATGCGTCTATCTACGCAGGGAGCGAACGGCATGAACAAGAAGGCTCGAAGGGGAAGCACTGTGCGGCAGCATGACACATGTAACAGTGGACTCTTTAAGCCCTAAACCCTAAACCCTAAACCCTAAACCCTAAACCCTAAACCCTCGGGAGAAGCTACGATGTGGTAACCCCCGCTTTGCTCGGAGGAGGCCCAAGGGCGCAGGATGCAAAAGCCGAGCGCCAGCACATGGGTAGTTCTCTAAAATCCTAAACCCTAAACCCTAAACCCTACCCTTTGGGGGTCCTTTCTGTAAGGGTGCCGTACGGTCTTGGGGGCCTAAAAAAGGACCCTAAGTTAGAGAACTACCTATCTGACAGAATGAACAAGCGGGGCCATGATGCAATTCTCGCAGCTCTTGAGAAGTCCATAGAGCCCCAAACCCCTTAATTAAGCAACATATCTTAAACTATAAGGGGCTTATTACTATTATGGCTGATAAGGCATATTCCTTTCATTAAGGGGTCTTGGGCTCTCTGGAACCCTAAACCCTAAACCCCTAAACCCCTAAACCCCTAAACCCCTAAACCCTAAACCCTAAACCCCTAAACCCTAAACCCTAAACCCTAAACCCCCATACCGAACCGCGAGGCCCCGGCTGGCCAGGGTCTCCGCAAAGATGCCGTCGTTGGTCCTTGACGGCTTGGGGTTTAAGTTGAGACTTCCCAAGGGGAGGTCTGGAAGATGGGTTCAGAGTTTAGGGTTTAGGGGTTTAGGGTTTAGGGTTTAGGGTTTAGGGTTTAGGAGTGTAGGGTTTAGGGGGCTTCACCCTAAACCCTAAACCCTCTACCTCTCGATCTTCTGATTGCCACCAACGGAAGGGCTGTTTAGGGGTTTAGGGTTTAGGGTTTAGGGCCCCAAAATTCGGGACTCAGCAAGTAGAACGGGGAATTCTGTTCAATAACGTCAAGGAAAAGGAATGGACCCTGACGAGTTCTGCATACGCAGTGTGGATGGACAGCAACATTTTGACGGTTGCCTGCCAGCGAAAATATGAAAGAGCAGTTTCACTGACACTGGAAGAGACCGGTCAAGACTTTATCAGTAATGCTTTCAAAATGGAATCTACATAAGTATTGAATTTCCCGCCCGGCAGTGCCAACCTTCCCCAAACCACCTCACTGCATCGCCTCAGTCAGCCAACACCTTGCCACACATGTTGCGAAGGCATGATGTAAGCGTTATAGCAACCCTTATAGTAGGCCTTAGTTTGCTGCTTATGATTGCCGATTTTGGTTTGCGCTCTCCAGTGGGGTTTTCGCCGACAGGTTCACGTACACGTGGTGCTCTAATATGGGGCCATCCGCAACCCGTGAACCTCATCTCTTGCATCTGAAAGCCTTCGCCACAAAGCCCACAACACACAATCCCGCGCCCCTGCACGCACACCCCGAATGCAACCGCACCTTGAATGCTACCTGGGAAAGGGATCCTAGTGCAATTTTGGACAAAGCTATAATAATGATACGAAAAATCAATCCCTATGTGCGTCCCTGATAAAGTTAGGGTAGAGTTTAGGGCTTAGGGCTTAGCCCGGTTATGCCCCTGTAGCCCCCGAACGTTCCTTAGGACCCAAAACCTCCTAAACCCCTAAAACCTCGGATACAAAGCCCAATACCCTAAACCCTAACACACACCACCGTAAAGGATTGCAAAGCCCTGAAGAATCGCCTCCAAGGTGTTAGTTTCCCCATGTTTCCCCTTTAGAGTTCAGGGTTTTGGGCTTGGTTCCCTAAACCCTAAACCCTAAACCTGAAACCCTGAACCCGAAACCCTAAACTCTAAACACTAAACCCTAAACCCTAAATCCTACACCCTACACCCTAAACCCTAAACCCTAAAACGCTATACTGACCGTCGCCCACAAGTTCGCCCAAGGCTCAGCAGTACCAGGCCATCAGAGGCGTAAGCGAGGCCCGTGGCCTGGGCCGCTTTCGCGGGTTTAGGCTTTTAGGGCTTTAGAGGGTTCAGGGTTTTAAGGTTTAGGGCTTTAGAGGGTTTAGGGTTTAGGGTTTCGGGGCTTTAGAGGGTTTAGGGTTTGGGGTTTGGGGTGTGGGGTTTGGGGTTTTAGGGTTTAGGGTTTTGGGGCTTTAGAGGGTTTAGGGTTTTGGGTTTTAGGGTTTAGGGCTTTAGAGGGTTTAGGGTTTAGGGTTTCGGGGCTTTAGAGGGTTTAGGGTTTGGGGTTTGGGGTTTGGGGTTTGGGGTTTTAGGGTTTAGG